CAAGTAATTATAATGTAAATCCTTGCTGATGGGCTTGTCTGCCTGTTAATGGGGGGTCACCTGCCTAAGGGCTATGCTAAGGGCTACTGCAGAATCAATAAAAGCTTGGTGAGGCCTGAGCACAGGGAGGAAGTCCTTCGGGACTTGCCGCCTGGTCCCCCAATATTGCAAAATTATCTCGTGTCTTTTTCTCTCATTTGCTGTGCGGCTCCTCTTTCAGATACCGAACCCTACTCCACGCGGGTCGTGGAAGGAAACACTCAACAGAACATGGTAAATAAGAGGCTTCGGGCAGGGTCTGTAAGCTAGGTACCTCGTGTCCCACTGTTTTTGAGTCACCCACAAGGATTTTCCTGCCTGCCATGTATGTTCTGCTCTTCGTCAGCCCATTCTCACTTCTGAAATCTAATATCTTGTCCCCACATTTTCTCCAATGTTGCCTCACCATCTTGGGAATTTTCATGCCTATGTGAGTGAATTCCCCATATGCATGTATTAAAATTTTTACTTTCTCCTGTTAATTTGTCTCTGTTCATTTAATTTTTGGCCCAGCTATAAGAATTTAGAAGGTGGGAGGGAAAGTATTAATTCTTTTGGCTTCCACAACAGTAAATACATAAACCAGTAACATAGTCATATATTATCATTAGCAAGTATTACATAGGGTACATAATTGTATGTGTTACACTTTTATATGACTTTCAGTTCAGATTTGTTTACACCAGCATCACCAGCAACACGTAACTTGCACTATGACATTATGCCAGCTACAGGGTCACTAGCAATGGGAATTTTACAATCTACGGAACCACCTTTGTATATGTGTTCCATCTTCGACCAAAATGTCACTATGGGGTGCACGACTGTAGCTCATTTTGTAGGCCAAAACTATGACCATTTTTTTCTTTATGATATTCAATTTTTTGAAAGTGGCATTTAAAATGTTAGTATCGTGCCCTAGCTGGTTTGGCTGGGTGGATGGAGCGTAGGCCTGCAGACTGAAAGGTCCCAGGTTTGATTCCATCAGGGGCACATGCCTGGGTTGCAGGCTTGATCCCCAGGGGAGCGGGGGCATCCAGGAGGCGGCAGATCGATGGTTCTCTCTCATCATTGGTGTTTCTCTCTCCCCCTCTCCCTTCCTCTCTGAAATCAATAAAAATATGCTTAAAGTAAAATGTAAGCATCTCAACAATGATAGTATTTCGTTATTGCTTGTTGGTGCAATCTCCATTTCCAAAATGAAACAAACGTTAAACATGCTTATGCACAAGTCAGCTAATATGTTTGAAAAATATATATAATCAAAATGAGACAAAAGAAAATAAAACCCAAAATTAGATACCTGTGGTTGTCATTCTGAAACACACACACACACACACACACACACACACACAGAACCAAGAGTCCTGGTTAATTACTTAATTTACAGTCAAAATTACTTAATAGGCAAGCATCCTAATAATACAATCTTAGCTGAAATGTCTACCACTCACCCGTTCACTCTTCATTCTGCAATACAGGGCGCGTGCTCTATGTAGGCCACCCAGGGTTCCAGGATGGGACCCCAAACCCCAGAGGATCTCTCCTTCTACCCCATTCGCACAAACCTCTAACGCAGTGCTTCTCAACCTTCCTCATGCCGCGACCCTTTAAATACAGTTCCTCTTGTTGTGACCCAACCATAAAATTATTTTCGTTGCTACTTCATAACTGTAATGTTGCTACTGTTATGAATCGTAATGTAAATATGTGATATGCAGGACGTCTTTTGTTACAAATTGAACATAATGAAAGCATAGTGATTAATCACAAAAACAATATGTAATTATATATGTGTTTTCCGATGGTTTTAGGCGACCCCTGTGAAAGGGCCGTTCGATCCCCAAAGGGGTCGAGACCCACAGGTTGAGAACCGCTGCTCTAACGAGCGCCCGCAACTGCAGGGCGCTGTGCTGGGCCCCTCTCCAGAGCGCCTCCGAGCGAGAAACGCAGACACCAGCAGGCTCACCTTACAAACACAGGAGGGCCACGCGCAAGGAACTGACTGCTCTTACTGGTGGAAGCCGCGCCTAATGTCGGGTGGAGGGAGCGAAAGCTCCTTTGAACCGGCAACCCACATTTTAGGGAGCGCAGCCGACCGCCGCGCTCTGTGCTGGTGAGAACAGCTGGAGGACCTCTGCCTGGACGCCTCAACTCCCCAAAGAACAACTCCTTCGGGACCCAACCGCACCGGCCCAGGACAGGGTCCGCAAGAACCAGGTCTCGGCGAGAACGACTCCGGACGCGGAAGTGCCTGGTCCTCCTTCCCCTCCAGACACCCGGGTCGGAGCACCCCGGTGTGACGCGGCGCCCGGGCCTCAGCCTGGCCAAGTTGGGACGGAGACCCCCAAGGAGGTGGGAAGATGCGGGCAGTCCGGGGCTGCGGGAGCGCGCGCGCGTGCTAAGACCCCGCCCCTCCTCCCCACCAACTACGAAGTCCCCAAGCCTTAGTCGCCCCTCTGGGCGGGGGCCGCTACCCTGTGCTAGGCCGCGCGAGGTTCTTTCTCCTCCGCTCTTGCGCCTCAAAACCCTCTCCCGAATCCCGTCCCGCAGCCCCGCCATCGCCCGCTAACTTCGAGCTGATAGGGGGCAGCGGGGGGAGGCGGTATCCGGGACGACAGACTCCACTAGGGGGTGGAGGCAGCTGGCCCTGCCCTACTCAGACCTTTAGGTACGCGGGAGGGGGGTGGCGCTGCCCGCGGGCCGTCGGTCACTCACTCCTCGCCTCCGGTAAGCCCCTCAGCGACGTCTCTCCTTGCCGACCGCGGCCATCTTGGACGTGGGATGTCGGGGATACGTCATTGCGCTGCGTCGGCGCCGGAAAACACGGAGGCACCTGTCAACCAATCAGGAGAAAGCAGGAGGAAAGAACAGCCAGTCATTTTCAGGCCCCGCCCCGCAGGAGGAGGAGCCTGTCAGAGGGCCACTCCCGTTGGTCCCGCTCCCGGGGCTAAGGAAGTTCGGCAGCAACCGAACGTGCTAACGGAATTTGGACGCGAGAGGAGGGGCCCCAAGAGCCAGTCTTCCAATCAGCGTCCGGGCGTGGCACAGTTCCACCAATTGTGGCCCCGGAGTTGAGGGGGCTGTGCCGACAGTTGAGGCTCCTGGAGCCGGCAGGCCCAATGGCTGGGGAGGAGCCCGAGCAAAACGGTAGGGGAGCGATGGGGCGGAACCGCGCCCATGCGTTCTTTGGGCCAA